TTAGACTAGTTCTAGCTTTTAGCTTTCTAGCTCTAGTTCTAGATTTTAGACCAAATGGAACGGCGTTCATACGATGCAACCGTACATTTTTCTCCTTTCAACGAATTGTCCAATAAACACTTTTCCATTGCACTTTGTCTCTAAAAGATTTCTCTAAAAGATGAAAATCTCGCAATCATCAACAATTTTCACACTTTTCCACAAGATCAAACAATCAAAGGATTAAGGAGTGAGTCAGTTTTTCAGTTGTTCGAGTACAGATCTTGTATCTATCTCTGTCTATCCCTGAGAGCAGACGATTTTCGAAGATCATCTCTATTTTCGAGTTTCTGATCATGTTTTTTTGCAGTTTTTCGTGATTGATAGATGGCACACTGTAAGAAAATAACAAATATTTCTGTCTGGTCGTGTTAATTTCGAAAGTGATGGGTTTTCTGTGTGGACTTTGACCGTTACAAGTTGTAGCTCGGGTCAGATACCATGGTTCTTTCAGTTTCTACTTGTGGACAGTTGGGTAATTAAACCGGCTGTGTTTCACAAAAGTCCAAAAAGAAAATGGACTTAGATTTGCAATATCTCTTCAAATTGGAGGTCACAACTCTTGTTTTGAACGTTTAAAGTGAGTGGGGATGAAAAGACGTCTATGACACTTCGGTAACTGAACCGATCCCATTTCAAAGTAATTCATTAGCAGAATTCCGATCTCTAATCAATTGTTGTCAATTCTGGAACGCACAGCACATCTTTTACCGATCAAGATCCTCCAAATCTCAAATTTGGAGGATTTTGATCAAATCTTTTTCTGAGCTTAATTCCAGGCTGGAGTTCTGTGCAAACAGAATCCATAATTTTGTTGTTTTTTCGCTTAGTTGGAACACACCAAAACAATTGTTACTGAGTTTTTTTGATCTATCGTGAAAAACAGATGTGTATGTCTGTCTGTCTGTCTGTCTGTCTGTCTGTCTGTCTGTCTGTCTGTCTGTCTGTCTGTCTGTCTGTCTGTCTGTCTGTCTGTCTGTCTGTCTGTCTGTCTGTCTCTACTTTCGTCGCCACCACGTCCATCCCCACGAGGTACTTGATAAGGAAATTTTTTGGGGAAATCCCCTTTTCTTTATCAAGCTTTTCTTTATCTAGCTTTTCTTTGATTGACACAGTTTTCAATGAAATGGAAAAGAGCTGGTTTTCTTGTTGTTGAGGGGAAATTGATATGATTTGAATGAAAAAGTGAGCGAGTCGGAGAAAAGAAAAGCATATTTGGGGAAACACCTCAACCTCGTGACTATGAAGTGAAATGGATAGAGGTTGAATGGTTGATAAGGGTTTTTTTCGGTGCTAACTTGATAAACAAACTCTATTCAAGCTTATTAATAGACCAAAAACGGAAAACTAACAAGAGAAGGTCAACTGGATAGGCTTGCTAAATGATAAGAGCCATAGACCTATCACAGGATTTCGATCAGGCCTTGTTTGGCGCAATTTTCAAAGAAAAACCTTTCGAAAACTTAAAGTTCAAAAATCCTGGATGTCACAGCAGCGTTTGAGAACAAAGTTTTCGAAATTCTGCAAATTTTGTGAACCCTGGGTTTCGCAGAATTTCGATCAGGCCTTGTTTGGCGCAATTTTCAAAGAAAAACTTTTCGAAAACTTAAATTTCATAAATCCTGGATGTCACAGCATAGTTTGAGAACAAAGTTTTCAAATTTTTGCAAATTTTGTGAATCCTGGGCTTCGCAGGATTTCGATAGGGTCTTGTTTGGGCCAACTTCCGAAGAAAAACCTTTTGAAAACTTAAATTTCATAAATCCTGGATGTCACAGCATAGTTTGAGAACAAAGTTTTCGAAATTCTGCAAATTTTGTGAACCCTGGGTTTCGCAGAATTTCGATAGGGCCTTGTTTGGCGCAATTTTCAAAGAAAAACTTTTCGAAAACTTAAATTTCATAAATCCTGGATGTCACAGCATAGTTTGAGAACAAAGTTTTCAAATTTTTGCAAATTTTGTGAATCCTGGGCTTCGCAGGATTTCGATAGGGTCTTGTTTGGCGCAATTTTCAAAGAAAAACTTTTCGAAAACTTAAATTTCATAAATCCTGGATGTCACAGCATAGTTTGAGAACAAAGTTTTCAAAATTTTGCAAATTTTGTGAATCCTGGGCTTCGCAGGATTTCGATAGGGTCTTGTTTGGGCCAACTTCCGAAGAAAAACCTTTTGAAAACTTAAATTTCATAAATTTCACAGCATAGTTTGTGAACAAAGTTTTCAAAATTCTACATCAAAACAGTATCCCTCTATTCACATTGTATGAGCACGCACGCACGCACGCATCACAGCGCGCACTTTGAAGCCCCACCACTCGGCTTAAAGCGCCTTTTCCCAAGTTCTCGTTGTGTTTTTCGGAATCTACGCATAAAATTACTCGAGAAAAAGTGGTTTTGAAGAAAAAAAGTGACGCCCAACCGGCGTCGTACCAATGTTAATAGTTGAAAGTAAACGTAGTAAAAGTTGTTTGAAAAAGATTTGTATTTGAAATAGAGAGCAATCTAAAAAAGCAATCTAAAAATAAGTTGAGCCGGGGAGTCGAACCTGAAACGGTTTGTCTCGTATTTTAATCGACTACCATTAGCCCACGACTGCTCTTTCAAGGCTCTAGGAAATCTGCTAATAAACTCGAGGGATGATTTTTAAAATTTCATACAAAACTTTGCGTATAACTTGCTTATAACTTTTGCCAGAGTACCGTTTAGCAAAAACGGGAAGCAGATTCGGATTCAGCGTGAATTTCTGCGTTGATAGCTCTATGGCTAGCTCTATGGCGATGTCATTTGGCCAGCCTATCCATTTGGCCAACCTATCCATTTGGCCAGCTTATCCATTTGGCCAGCTTATCCCTTTGGCCAGCCTATCCATTTCACCTTCCCTTGTAAGTAAATCTTGAAATCTGAAATCTGAAATTAGACACATGGTGTACACAGTAGTTATAAAAACTATTAAACTCTTTTCAACTCCATTTTGCTTTAAACTATGCTGTGACATCCAGGATTTATGAAATTAAGGTTTTCGAAAGGTTTTTCTTTGAAAATTGGCCCAAAAAAGGCCCTATCGAAATCCTGTTACACCCAGGATTCGCAAAATTTGCAGAATTTTGAAAACTTTGCTCTCAAACGATGCTGTGACATCCAGGATTTATGAAATTTAAGTTCTCGAAAGGTTTTTCTTTGGAAATTGGCCCAAAAAAGGCCCGATCGGAACCTTGTTTTATTTCGAATCGAATCGGTATTTCGAAAAGCATTTTTTTACAATTTCTTCTATGCTTAATACTTTCCGCACAGTTAACAGTTTAAAAGCGGTAAAAAAACCTCACTGATCTTTGATTTTTGAACACTTCTAGTCAGCGATCATTAAAGATCACCCAAATTTGCATAAAAACTAGGTCAAACCGGGTAGAGTAGGCGTTCTTTGAAAGCCCAACGAAAGATCAAACGTCTAACCTTTTCTTTTCCCCCAAAAAGGACCACGTGGCTTTGATCAGATCGGGGGATTCCCCCGAAAATCGTTGACAAAAGAAAATGGAGAAAGGAAAGGAGAGATCAGGATATCTCATTGCTCATTTCTCCCAAAAATAGCCTTGCCTTGAGCGATCGATCTTTGACTCTGAGATCTTGTTCTTTCCAATTTTTCTCTTTCAGGGATCTCAAATATGATAAAGATGATAAATATGATAAATAAATCAGAGCTGTCTTTTGAGCTGGAACCCAAAGCCTAGGAATGTTTACGAGAATCGCCTACAAGACATACTGTAATTGAACTGTAATTGAATTGCCGTTCTAGTTTTTCCGCCCGTCATTTTTTCCCCGGCAGGCGTTCTATTAAAGGGTCCCGTTCAATTTTTACCGATATTCCAAGTTGCCCACAGTCAGAATTGCAGTCAGGATTCGTAGTCTGGACTCGCAGTCAGGATTCGTAGTCAGGATTCGTAGTCAGGAGTCGCAGTCAAGATTCGCAGTCAGGAGTCACAGTCTGGGTTCGCAGTCAGGATTGGCAGTCAGGAGTCGCAGTCAGGAGTCGTAGTCAAGATTCTCAGTCAGAATTCGCAGTCATGATTCGTAGTCTGGATTTGTAGTCAGGATTCGCAGTCAGGATTCCCAGTCAGGAGTCGCAGTCTGGATTCGCAGTCAGGATTGGCAGTCAGGAGTCGCAGTCAGGATTCCCAGTCAAGATTCGCAGTCAGGAATCGCAGTCAGGATTCGTAGTCAGGATTCGTAGCCAGGATTTGCAGTCAAGATTCCCAGCCAAGATTCCCAGTCAAGATTCCCAGTCAAGATTCTCAGTCAGAACTCGCAGTCAAGATTCCCAGTCAGAACCCTGGACCGTAAAGTGTACTTACTGTAGGTACACTTTATGGTCTGACGGTTTTTTCCATTTTTCTTTCTCTAAAAACTTTTCCCCTTCATAATTTTATGTTATTTGTGCATTCCGGAAAAACATAAAAACCATGTTTCGTTGGAAATCTCGATCCGACCTTAAAGTTGAATTTTGTCATTTTGTCGAATTGTCAAATTTTAATTGTCGAATTGTCGAATCGTCAAATTTTAATTGTCGAATTGTCGAATTGTCAAAAACGCAATTTGTACCAGCGTAGGGGTGCCGTCCAATCACAGTATTTACGGTAGTTAAAACGTGGGCAAAACAGAGGGACCAGTATTGCGAATGTAAATCAAAAACTGATTCCGGCAAGTTCTAGTGTGAAGTTTAACTTAAAAAACGCTAAATCACAAGCAATTCTGAACACTTCAAAGAGCTAGGTAACTGTGCCAGATTTTGGAAACTTTTTAGAAATTTACAAATCCGGGAGTTGATCGAAATTCAGCAAAAACAGCAGAAACAAAATTTTCAATTACTAATGTAAATGCATAAGATTGGCATCGATTCGCTAATTGATTATACTTATTGGTGAACGCAAACAATTCTTTATTGCTTTATTATCATTTTCCGAATCTCATCGTCGTCCGATCTTTCCTTGAAAAGCCGTCTGCACTCCGAGGCCGTCCGAGGCTCCACCGCTCGGCGAGGCTCCACCGCTCGGCGAGGCTCCACCGCTCGGCGAGGCTCCACCGCTCGGCGAGGCTCCACCGCTCGGCGAGGCTCCACCGATCGCCAATCCGTTACTGCTGTGCCCATTTGCGCCAATGTGCTCGAAAAGTAGCTAAATTAATGTCAAGAATTTATATCAAAGTGTGGCAGCTTGATCACTATTTACTAGACTTGTGTTTCGGTTGGCTCTTTTCGGTTCAGTTTCGGTTTCGGTTCAACCGAAGTCAACCGAAATCTTCGGTTCGGTTCGGTTCGGTTGAACCGAAAAGATGAGTCTTTCGGCTCGGTTCGGTTCGGTTGAACCGAAAAGATGAGTTTTTCGGTTCGGTTCAGTTTCGGTTCAACCGAAAACTGAGTTTGTCGGTTCGGTTCGGTTTCGGTTGACTCAAATTTTTAGCGATTGTAATTTGAAATATCATATTTGACAATGAAATATCATATTTGAAAAAAGATCGTCACTTTCGCGCGTCTGTATCTCCCTTGTCTTTGAGTTTAAACTATTAGTGTTATACATTTTCTGAAAGCTCTTTTCATGGGCTACACAGTGGCATATATTAATATTTAGAAATACGGTAAAGACAAAGGAGTTACAGACGCGCGAAAGTGATGATCTTTTTTCAAATATCATATTTCATTGTCCAGCAGTTTAAGTTTGAACAGTTTATACCTATGGCAAAACAAATGAAAGCAAACAAACAAAATGGTGCAAGTAAAGACAGAAAAAGTGAAGAATGTTTTTTTTGAAAAACAATTGCGCAATTGCAAAAAAAAATCGAGGAAATATAAAACGAACTTTGTTGCAAAATGCTTTTTATCTATTTACTGTCAAGTTATTCAGCCTAACCAACTGAATATTCATGCAAAAATAAAAAAAAACAGAGTTTGGCGTCATTCGCATAAATTTATTGCGTTTTGCATTGGTTCACTTTATCGCACGTTATCGAATTTCGGTTCGGTTCGGTTTCGGTTCAACCGAAAAGATGATTTTTTCGGTTCGGTTCGGTTTCGGTTCAACCGAAAAATATTTTTTTTCGGTTCGGTTCGGTTAACCGAAACCGAAACCGAAACCGAACCGAAAAAGAACGTTTCCGGTTCAACCGAAACACAAGTCTACTATTTACCTTTCCTTCTAGATCGTTTTCTAAACCGTGCTCTTTTCTACCGTAGTCCTGTCTCCATTTTTATCCGATCTCTCCACTTTTTGACCGAATTCTGTGATACAAAATATCGAAAGACACAAAAAGTGCATAGATTGGATAAAAATAGAGACAAGATTACGGTAGAAAGAGGAAAGAGACACGGTTTAGGGTACGATGCTACTGGATTAAATGGCTCAGGCTCAGGCTCAGGAATTTTAAATTTCTAAATTTTCAAATTTTAAATTTCTGAACTTGAGAACAACCCTAGTGCCTTCCAGAATGGCCAAAACACCGTTTACTAATGAATTTGGATTACGGTAGAAAGAGAAAAGGGCACGGTTTAGAAAACGGATATGGGGCCAATAGATGAAACTGCTAATTTTAATGTTTTAAGCTTTGGAAAAACTCTAGTGACTTCCAGATTCGCCAAAAAACCGTTTACTGACTAATTTGGATTACGGTAGATGAAGAAAAGGGCACGGTTTAGAAAACGGATATGGGGCCAATAGATGAAACTGATAATTTTAATGTTTTGAGCTTTGAAAAACTCTAGTGACTTCAGATTCGCCAAAACATCGTTTACTGACTAATTTGGATTACGGTAGATGAAGAAAAGGGCACGGTTTAGAAAACGGATATGGGGCCAATAGATGAAACTGCTAATTTTAATGTTTTAAGCTTTGGAAAAACTCTAGTGACTTCCAGATTCGCCAAAACATCGTTTACTGACTAATTTGGATTACGGTAGAAAGAGAAAAGGGCATGGTTTAGAAAACGGATTACTCTACTCACCGTTTACCGTTTAGAGTGTGTTCCTTGCAGACAACGCGTTTTCTAAAAAGCGCGCGCCGAAGATAAGCTACCGTAACCCTATGCTTTGCGTCAGCAAATTTTTCAAAATGCAAATGTACATTAAAATCTTGCGCTTTTTTTTCTGTTATTCTTTCCATAACTTTTTGTTTTTTTTTTCCTTTTCAAACAGGTTAAATTGATAATTCCTACTATTTAGAGTACTGCGTAGAGAACCGTGTGATTGTGAGAGAAAATGGATGCTTCTCCCAGTAATAGGGTAAATTCTAGTGATAGTTGCCTTTACGCTTATAAATCATTTTCAGACATTTTCATCGTCGCAGCTCATGTCAAAAGTTCGCTAAAACTTAAAAATTTTAAAATGCCATGTAAAATTAAAGAAAACATATCTAAAACGGAAAAAGTTAAGAAACACTATTAAAAAATTATATTATTTAAGAATTTACCGGGCTTGTTGTCTACATTTGCACTAGAACTATTCAAAAACAAATTCCACGCCCTAAAAAACCTAAATCCTTAAAGGGGGGGGGGGTATTAATCGCGGCCGGGTGACGATAAAAATTTTTTTACGGCAACCACCTGTTTTTTTTATTTTAATATCGCTGATTTTATTATAAAAAGAATAAAAATCACCCGGCTAGAGTGATTTGATGGGTTTACAAATTTTTGGAGACACTGCAAGGCTTGGAGAAAAACAAGATCGTCACTCATCAGACACCTCAGCTAAAAGGCACCTATTTGAGAAAACTAAAACCACAAGCGACCACAAATGGAAAAAAGATCTAATTGTGTCAATTAAAGCGCTGAAGATGTCCTACGGTGGAGGAGATTCAGTCACTTCTGGTGAAGATGCGCTGGAAATTGATAAGATAGGAAGCCGATTTGAGGAACTGCTGTACTTGAGCGAAGATGAAAGTGAGCAAGAGGAAGAATTATAGATTAACAATTTATTTTTATTGTTTTTTGTGCTTTTTATTTTGTTTTTAAATTTATCTGCAATTAAAATTCAATCGATCTAGACTGTGCTGAGGTGTCTGATGAGTGACGATCTTGTTTTTCTCCAAGTCTTGCAGTGTCTCCAAAAATTTGTAAACCCATCAAATCACTCTAGCCGGGTGATTTTTATTCTTTTTATAATAAAATCAGCGATATTAAAATAAAAAAACAGGTGGTTGCCGTAAAAAAATTTTTATCGTCACCCGGCCGCGATTAATACCCCCCTTTAAATAAAACTATCCATTACTACATTTTAAGAAACTTTTGCACATTTTTTTTAGCGCGGCCTTTATAGCTTTGCTTAAAAAGCGCACCTTTTAGAAAACGCGTTGTCGGAAGTTTGTCGGATCAATTGTCCGACAAAAAAGTTGTCAAGACAAATTTGTCTGACAAATTGTCTGTCAACAAGGAGCACACTCTATTACCGTTTACCAACGAGTCAGCGCTCATTTAGACTATTTGGTAACTCAAATTAGCCGCTTGCCTTTTTTGTGCGTTCCAAATAAGCTAATTTTTTTGTTTTCGAACATTTTTTCAGTCAAATTGGAAAAAAATGGAAAAATTGAAAGAATTGAAAGAATTGCGAAACTAAACCGACCAAATCACATTGCCAAAACAAAAAACAAACGAATTCTAGCCAAATTTCCACAATTCACTTAATTTTGAGACTTTTCCGGTTGAAACTTGCGAGGCCAGTAGGTTCCCTAAAGCCTCCCGCTGGCGCAAGCAAGTCCCGACCGGGTTGGACCGGGTTTGGGTCAATTTTCAAACAGAAATCTTGCTAATAAACTCAAAATTCATGAATCCTGGGTGTCACAGCATAGTTTGAAACAAAAATTTTTTACAAAAGCATAAATTTTCAATTTTTCGGTGTAGCGCTCGAATAGATTACAGCGAATTTCGGCGAAATTCACTTTTGATCGCCGAATTTAGTCAAAATCAGTAACGTGCGCTCCAGGATGGGGGAAACTGGCAAAAATTTGGTGATTGCTCGATTTTGGGGGCAACAACACAAGTGGTGGTGGGTTCGTCACCGGCCGCCCATACAAAGCTGACTCAGAGCGCGGAGAATCGCCCGATTCGATGACCAAGACTAATGAGAAGACGAGAAGAGGAGTTTTTTTGTGGTTTCTTTGAAGAAAGAAGATTTGGATTCTTGGTTTACGTTGAAAACTGTGTTTTCTAAAGCTTTCTGATTGACAAAGCTTTCTGATTGACAAAGCTTTCTGACTAACAAAGCTTTCTAAAGCGTATCAACTCTGGGAAAGATGTACGACTTGGTGTCGTCTTGATGTCGTCGATGTGGCAGATGTACCACCTTTTTTGCAAGACTATGATTGAATCGCGATGAACAGATTTCTTCACCATTCCTAATTCACCATTCCTTCTTCACCATTTCTTGAATAATAATTTCTTGAAAACTATTAAACTCTTTTCAACTCCATTTTGCTTTAAACTATGCTGTGACATCCAGGATTTATGAAATTTAAGTTTTCGAAAGGTTTTTCTTTGGAAATTGCGCCAAACAAGGCCCTAACAAAATCCTGCGAAACCCAGGATTCACAAAATTTGCAGAATTTTAAAAACTTTGCTCTCAAACTATGCTGTGACATCCAGGATTTATGAAATTTAAGTTTTCGAAAGGGTTTTCTTTGGAAATTGCGCCAAACAAGGCCCTAACAAAATCCTGCGAAACCCAGGATTCACAAAATTTGCAGAATTTTAAAAACTTTGCTCTCAAACTCTGCTGTGACATTCAGGATTTATAAAATTTCAGTTTTCGAAAGGTTTTTCTTTTTTTGTGTTTTCTTTGAAGAATCGATTGGGATTCTTGGTTTACGTTGGAAACTGTGCTTTCTAAAGCTTTCTGATTGACAAAGCTTTCTGATTGACAAAGCTTTCTAAAGCGTATCAACTCTGGGAAAGATGTACGACTTGATGTCGTCGATGTCGTCTGGATGTCGTCGTCTGGCAGATGTACCACCTTTTGTGCAAGACTATGATTGAATCGCAATGAACAGACTTCTTCACCATTCCTAAAATTATCAAATTTCTTGAATAATAATATAAAGACAATGCAATAGCGAGAAAAAAAACAGGAAAACAGGAAAAAGGTTGTTAAAGCTTTAAGAATGTAAATCAACCACATCTTAATTGAAGCCGGCTCAAGTTGCTTTGATGTTGGACAACCTTTTGGACTGACTGGACTGTCCAAATGACCATACTCATTGCTAGACTAGTCTAATCGATGACAAAAGTGAAGTGATATTGAAAGAAATCAAAATCAAAATTTATTTTATTTATTTTCGTTATGTATGTTGGAATAAATCGAAAGATAAAAGCAAATTTTAGGAGTTCGAAAGATTTCCTCAACGATGACACAATTGGCGACAATTATGAGCTATGCTCGGCTTCAACCATTGGTTGAATGGTTGAATGGTTGAATGGTTGAAGCCGAGCATAACCATGTCAACTACAAGCACTACTACTGCTAGCTCAACAACTACTTCAGCAATTACGGCACAAATAAAAACAAAGTGTAAATGTTAACTAGCCTTCTGCTTAGGCTTAGCAAGTTCTGCAGGCTTAGCAAGTTCTGCAAGGCTTAGCAAGTTCTGCAGGCTTAGCAAGTTCTGCAGGCTTAGCAAGTTCTGCAAGGCTTAGCAAGTTCTGCAAAGCTCAGCAACGAAAGTAAATCTAGCAACCGCAACACGACGAATCACTTCCTTGTCAACAAACTCCACAACAACATCTTTCAAAAGAGAGTCTTAAGCTTAACATAATCTCTCAATCAATATTGTTGGGGTTCTTCTTCGTTGGGGCTCTTCTATTGATCTTAATTGGATCAATCTCAACATCTTCATCATCAAAAAGCAAGGCTTCACTCATGTTGACCATTATTTTATCTGTCATT